AGTGAGACGCTGCATGCCCGCACACTCTTCAGGGAAATATATGTTGGCACAGCACTTGAAAGAGAGGGAAAGGGGTTACGGGGAATGAAAGACTTAGAGAAGACGTCGTCGTCGCGTCGTCACCGCCCTCCTCAACCCACCAGAACCAACAATCCCTCTCATCCTGCTGCTCCACCGAAATGAAACGGGGGCAGGAAAAAAGATTTGGAAACGAGAGCATTCGCTTCGAAATATCTACTCGAAATAACCAGATTTGAATCGATTTGACCAACTTATCTGAAAAGTCGCGTCGTGCGCTGCGCTCCTCCTATAGCTGGCGCCCGGGGCGCGAAGGATACCCTTTACGCGCGAGGGGGTCGGATCCCGTATCCGGCCTGATCTGAATGGGGTCGAGTGCGCCGAAAGAGAAAAGAGGGCGCGTGGTGAGCCCCCCGGCCGCACCCCCGGGCCCTTTGGTGGTCCCGTCGCCCGTCGAAGCTCCTCGGATAGCTCTTCTTTCGTGCGCGCCCCACTGCCCTGGTGGCCTTCGTTGTACACCTCAGCCTCAGCCCACACGGCCTCGGCCCTCGGACCTGTTCCCTATCGCCCCGCCGCCGTGACCCCTGACCCCTGCCCGCTGCCCCTCGGCGGCCCCCCGTGCGGCGGCTGCTGCTGCGGCCCTCAGCGGGGCAAAAACCCCTTTTGTGGTCCGTAATTGGACGCGGGTACTGCACAATTGTACCGCCCTGCTCGGCGCGCGCTCCGGGCGCAGCGGCGGCAACCGCGCGGCGGGGGGCTGCAGCAGAAGTATCGCTCGGCTCGACACAGCCCGACAAAGGAAAAGTCAGCTTTGGGGTTTAGAGACAGAAAGAGCGAGAGGGCGAGAACGAGGGAGAGCGAGAGAGCTAGAGCGAGAGAGTGAGAGAGCGAGAGCGAGAGAGCGAAGAGCGAGAGAGCGAAGAGCGAGAGAGCGAAGAGCGAGAGAGCGAAGAGCGAGAGAGCGAGAGCGAAAGAGAGCGAGATCGAGAGAGAGCGAGAGAGAGCGAGAAGAGCGGGATGGGGGGGAAATTACTGACTGTACACGGTTAAAAGTCATCGCCGGCCGGCCTGAGGGAGCCGCACAAGGCAAACAGAATTACCCGCGCGCCCCTGTGAGACGGGGGCGTTCATCAGGGCCCCTCCCTCGACATCGCTGTGCCTCCGTTTCATAACAAGGGGGTCGCACTCTTAGCCTAATCGCATGAGCCGCCTGGGCGCGCGGCCGTGCCCGTCTTCCGGTCTCCGCAAGCCCACCCCCCCTACCACCAAGCGCCGACCTCCTGCAGCAGCCGACCACCGGCCCTCAGGTGTCAGCCTTGACCAATTTATAGAAGGCATTGGCTCCCGGAAAAAGAGAACAGGAAAAGGTGACGCTGGGCCGCGGATCGCACCGCGCGGTGCCCGCTCGAGGAAGCGCTACGTTAGGTTTCGCCCTGAATAAACAAGAAGACTCGCGACGCGAAAGGGAAACCCCACGAGATGAGACGCCAAAAGACTGTGCGCGCGGTTTTTCCTCGTACTGTGTGCACAGTTTTTCCTCGTACTGTGCGCCCTTTGAAACGGACGCGCCAATAGGTATCGCCTTTCGAGTGCGCTTCGTTTGCGCTGTTAACCCGAACTTTCTCCATGTGCGAGTGCGTGGGCTTCATTGGCGCGCGGAAGGGGCACTTCAGGAGGACCGCGGATCTTGCCAGCTCCATCGGAGTCGTTATACTGTTTCGATGGTAACTTTTCCCCACTGCCTCGCCCCCGAGCCCGTCGACAAGCGTGGGCCGCACCCAACAGGCCAATACCCCTCTTCGCATCCTCAACCTCTTTCCCTCGAGGGACGCGGGGCCGGGAATACACAGCTGGTCCCGTACAAAGGCTCGACCACCTCCGGGAGAGGGGAGCGCCGAAGGCCAGCTGTGTGTGGGATGGGAGAGCAGCGAGGGCATAACGATGCGAACACTTTTCGGAATGCACCGCGAGCGTTATAGGTTGGTGAGGGTTCATTGCTACCTCCGAAAGTCAGTTACGTTTCACCTCACACGAACCTTTCCAATTACATGCCGACGTACGTTGTCCAGATGCGGCCACGCAAGGCGGGCGCAGCAGCCGAGTTGTTCCACCACCGAGCGGTGCGAGCGGCGAGTTCCTCCCCCACAAATAATTATATTAAAATATGTAATCGGTCGGCTGCTCGTGTTTGGAGTGTGGCTGGCAGCCGTTCGCAGCCAGACCCCGGGCTTTCGGCTCGCGCTTTCCACCTCAACGGACTCGCGCCCCGCCGCGCCCCGCCCCATCCCGCCGCAGCGCTGCCCGCCCGCACGGCCCTATCACTCCGTATTTTTATAACCACATAAAACAACATATCGGATTCAGTCAAGCAGGAGATCCATGGCCCATCCTCGCCGCACCCCATACCGCCCTCGCCCAACCCCCGACCACCCCCAGCACACCCCTATCCCGCCCTGCTCCGCCGCGCCGTGCCAGGCCTCGCCTCGCCACACCACGCTGCAGAGAGCACAGACGGTGGGTAAACAGCGGCACCTTCTATCAGTTTGGCTTTCTGCAGTCCGCAAGGGGCTCGGAGGGGAAGAGCTGAGAGGGCGAGGGGAAGGGGGCCTTGTGTACGAGACAGACTGCTAAAAGTCGCCAGTCTTGTCTAGAAGGATACTTATGTCGCGTCGAGTCATATGTCTATCCCCAGTTCGGCTATCAACTAGCTACAAATGCCGTTGCACGGGGTACGGGGTAAGAAGACCAATTGTCCCCTAAACGCTTCCCCTGAGTACACACGTTGTACTGTCGCCACATGAACACACACACACAAGCGCTCATACACATGCATGGCTGTTAAGCCCCCCGCATCGCTTAAGACATCGCCCGCGGTGCGGACAACAATTCCACTGCGAAAACAAACAGGATTCACTTTTCCTCGGAGCGTCAACTGAGAAAACAGGCCGCTTTTCCCAGGGAGCGCACCACACGTCACACTGTTCGACGTTCCGATAGCGGAAAAAAACAAACTGACGATAAGATCTTGCCGAAGGGTCTAGCCAAAATAAAAGTGATTCGTATAATGCCATGGTGCCATGGTGCAGATTCACAATTACAGTAGAATACTTCCAGGGCAGAACATTCAGTTCTTTTCTTTGTCGTCTGTTGAAAACATCTTTTGATTGAGATAAGCAGTGCATCACTGCGCAGCCCTCGAAGCGACGCCGACCGGAGCTGTGCGCAGCGCTGTTCACTATACGATTCTTTGAACGCAGTAATGGTCGCACTCAGCCCGGGGAGGCGTGTTTCAGCCGGTTCCAGCCCTTCAACACCCACCCCGCGCGCGCCGAGCTCAGCCCGGGGCTCGGCCCCACCGCGACACCGCCGCCGCCCCCCTCCTCAGCACTTGGGTGCGACTGCCGTAAAAACGCAATAAAGCTGAGCAGTGCTGTTCTTGTGCCTCGACTCGCGTAACGGCAGGCCTGGAAATGCACCTTTGCAACCTTCTGCCACCCTCCCTCTCCCCCATCACTGCACCCGCGCGCTGCACCTGCTGCGCT